AATATTATTAGTATAGTATACTTTTAAAAATAAATAAAAATCAATATATTTAAATTTAATTATAACTTAATTAAAAAAATAGATATTTCATAAAAAAAAAAATGAATGAAAAAAAGAAAAAAAAAACTACAAGAATTCAATTTAATTTTTTCATAGAAAATAGAGATAAATAATAAGAGAGAAGAGAATGATAAATGGAATATAATCAATAAAAAAAAAAATTTTAATCATACATGTTCATGAAAGGTTAAAGGAAAGAAAGATTTAAAAAAATATTTTTTTTTTTTTTGTGAAAGTCTCTCAAAATCTCGTGATTAATGAAAGACAAATTTTAAGATATTATATGAGTACTTTCTGTTTAAAAATTAGTACGTCAGAGACTTTTATAAAAATCTCTACAAGTCATTAAAATTTGAATACCGTAAGACTTATAGAGATTTTTAAAAAGTTTTAATTGAATACACCGTAACTTTTAGAGACTTTTTAAAAGTCTATAAAAATTTTAATTGAATACACCATGACTTTTAGAGAGTTTCAAAAAGTTTTAATTGAATACTCTTAAACATTTTAAATCTCAAAAAGTCATTAAAAGTCTCAATTGAATACACCCTCCTAAGATTTCATAAGCGAAATGTATACTTAAAATGTCGGTTTTTGCGTAATTTTCCTTTTTTTTTTTTTAAAACCCAACTTCAACAGTTGAATTTCAGTATTACATCTTCCGCAGCCGGCTCCTACAAGCCACGGCAGTTGGCCAGTTACGTCTGCAACTCAGGTACTCAACCACTCCTAAAACCTACCGGCGACGGGCGACGGCAGAGTGATAGCATCCTCCTGTGGTGGTCTTCTATTATCGGACTCGTAGTCGTTGGTACTAATTTGGTAAGTCATTTATCTATTATCTTCCCTAAAATCCGACCGGCCGACCGCATGAATGGTGAATCTGATGATTGTTGGCATTCTGCCATTCTGGCTTCTGCTTCTGTATTATCTATCAATTAGTTTTCTTGCAATGTTTTGGGTGAGTTATATCCAAATTCCGACCGGCTCTGTTCATTCATGATACTGAATCTCTGATGCTGGCATTCTGCTTCTGTTATCTATCAATTTGTTTTCTTGCAATGGTTTGTTTTGGGTGAGTGAGATTCAAATTGATTTCTTTGTCTATTTGTTGCATCTTCATCTTGATTCTTGAAACTTGAAGACATGAACTTTGAGGTGTAACCGTAGTTCCATAAATCTCTTATAAATGAAAAAAATTAATTGCTTGTTATGATTTATGGGCCCAAAATCTGAATTTCGCCCCAGGCCCCGCAAAACCCAGGTCCGGCCTAGACGTGTGCACTTGCACAGCAAGATTGACGATCATTTTCCCTTGTGCTATCTTCCATTATGGACCTCTTCTGTTTTTCTCCACTCAATTTTCATGGATCTCTCTTCTTCTTGGTTTTTTGTCAGAACTCAAGGTTTTGTAGAAACAATGCGGTCGAGGAGTGTAAAGAAACACGATCAATCAATTCAATTGGGCATGAATGAAGAATTATAGTTTTTGTCTGATTTGAGAATCAGAATAATTGAACCAGTTGCGATGATGATGTTGATTTAGAGATTTACCGTTGATTTTAATTGTTCCATAGGAAGGTTATTCAAAATTGGTTGATTGTGTGTTCATCGGCCCAATTGGTCTGCAGGAGGTAATTATACATGCAACATTGGTAGAACAAGATTAAAGAAAATAATATATGACTTTCCGAAGAATGAACATTCGAATTGTAACTTCTTCTTATTAAAACTACTCGTATTTTTTTTTTTTTTTGGAGTATGAAAAGATTGATTGTAGCTAAATGGTTGAA